CCCCCGCCCCCCACAAGGCCACCCACTCTCCCTGCATGGTATGCCAGAGTGTGAGCTTTGCTCTTCTCCTGAATAGAAACTGGGTAGAAGGGAGGAATCTTGCCCCTCTGCTTTGTATTAGCCTGTGGCACTTCATACCTTCTCAGATAAGCCCTGCAAGGTCCCTGCAGACTGCTGTACTTAGCAGACCAGTAGGAGGAGTTGGGTTCCTGACTCCCTGCAGATAGTGATCAGGCTGAACTTCAACCCTGTTGCCAGAAGTTGGCAGGAGGGCTGCCATGGACTTCCTGACTAAATGAAGCCTGCGCACCATTGATACTGCGGGGCACCTTGGACATGACCAGTTACCCTGTTTTACTCACGAGTGGGTATTCTACTCTTCATGAATCTGATTTTTATTAAATGTGTTTTTAAACACTAAAGGTGTCTTTTGTTCAGATTGGATAGTTTAAACAAAACCACTTATTTCTCATACTTTGGGAGGCTACAAGTCCAAGATGAAGGCAACAACACATGTCTGGTGAGGGCCTCTCCCCACTATCTTCATACTGTGGCTTCACATGGTGCAGAGTATAAGTTGTTTCCAGACCCTTATAAATGATGGTGTATCCCATTCAGAAGGGTCCCACCCTCACCGCTAATCACTTATAAAGGTCCTACCTCTTTTGTTGTTATTTTTTGTTATTTTTGAGACTGTTTCACTATGGAGCCCTGGCTGGCCTGGAACTTGTTATGTAGACCAAGTTGGCCTCAAACTCATAGAAATCTACCTGCCTCTGCCTCCAGAGTGCTCAGACTAAAGGGTATGCTACCAGGCTGGGCTCAAGGCTCTGCCTCTTAGTTCCATCACATTAGGGATAAAGTTTCAAGCATAGGAGTTCTGTTGGAACACAGAAATCGTCTTTGATGACATGACAATGTACTCAAGTGAGAGTTTTGGCAATTTACAAAGGCTTCAGGACACACGACCCTTACAGATGCAGAGGAGGGCCAACCAGAAATCCATGATTGTATTCCTGGAATTGCAAACTATTTAAATTTGAGTGGGTGTCCTTCATAATGAAAGGCTTTAAGACACACACTCCTTTCATTAGGGAAGGGGTGTTCCCTACCTTAAAGTCTGGAAAACGAGACTCAAAAAGGAGTGAAGGTGGACAAGTAAGTAGAGTGACCTGATGTCACTCTGCTGGTTGATGGCAGAGTTGGGATCCACAAGTCATCGTTTGATGCCAACTTTTTCCTCTCTGTTGGCCACATGTCTGTGCATGACAACTACTTTGTTGCCAGGGACTTCTTTCTGATGGAGCCGACTGACAGGAGACCCTAGGTCTAGAGGCCAAAGAGTCCCAGTGCCTAATCTGAGAACACAGATGATGGGGTCCCTTTCTTAGTATGACTAGTTATAGGAAGGGAGAATAGCTGACAGCAGTGCTAACGCTTGTTCTGGTGACAGCACTAGAACACCACACTGCCCAGGATCCTAATCCTCACCTGAGTCTTCTTGTCCATGTGATGGTCACCATTCTGAAAAAATAAAAATATTATTTTGTGTGTGTAGGCATGCTCATCCCACAGCACATGTGGAGGCCAGAAGACAACTTTATCTCCTGCCACTTAATGGGACCTGGTGATCAAATTCAAGTTGTTAGGCCTTCAGGCTACTACCCACTGAGCCATCTTGATGGCCTGAGATGGGCATCATTGAATTTTATAGATCTCAACTGGCCAAATATGGGCATGAGTTCCCATAGTTAGTTTAAAACGGAACCAGACTTTACATGGATATGACCTGCCAGTGCCTTGAATCACTTCTCTACACTGAGGATGTCATGCCTGGTGTGAGCTGTGTGGGTTTGTTGTCTCAGGCATCAGTCTTTCAACTGGTCAGAGCATAGGCAATGACTGCTCTAGAGCAGTGCATCATGACCCCTTTGGCAAACCTCTAACTCCACAAATATTTACATTATGATTCATAACAGCAAAATTACAGTTATGAAGTAGCAATGGAAATAATCTTATGGTCGGGATCACTGCAACATGAGGACCTGTATTAAAGAGTTGCAGCATTAAGAAGGTTGAGAACCACTGCTCTAGAGAGACCTTGGGCCTGTATGACTGAAGTTTCTGAACTATACCATAGCCTCAAAACACAGTGAGTCCATTTCTTCTGGGGGCCCAATGCCCATTAATTTCTGAAGAATCAATTGATCTGGTGCAGAGGAAAGACTTTGTGTCAATCTGGCATGCATTGGTATGGTATGTGCTAGGATAGGAAAGGGGAGTCCCCATGGAACCATCCCAGCAGAGCAGAACTTGTCTGGGGCACAGGTGATGAACTGCCTGCCAAGAGATGGGTCATGGTCATTGATAACCAGGGCTAAAGTCTCAAAGATGAGGCAGCCACGTGTGGCTTCAATGGGTTTTATTGGCTTTCCGTCATACACTGACTAGGTATAGGAGGTCTTCTAGAGGAAGAGGCCTTGAAACCAAATGGGTATACCCAGTTAGGGGCTGTGCTGTACTCTGGAAAAGCCTTATCACTGACATTCATAACTGGTTGGAGTGGGGTGAACATGACCTGAGGGACTCCTCTTCTGGAGGAGGGAAAGAGGGTGCTGGTGGGGCACATGATTCACTCAGCCAGACACTATGTTTATGGAACAGTTCCAGAGGTGTGCTGGAGGATATCCTACTTCACGAAGAGGATGGGAGCGAGGGTGAGCGAGAGGTAAGGTGACCATCTGAAGGCAAGAGGAATGGAACAGGGAGAAGAGATGAGGAGGAAAAAGGCAGTCATGCTCCCTGTGTCTGCAAGACCTCCAGGATGGCACGGAAGATGGCAGCAACTGCTACTGCTCCAGGGTCTGGCTGATCTAGTCGTGCAGAACTGATGTAACTAGCTCTTCCAGCACCAGCTTGCATGTTCTTGGTGGCCTCGGCTGCAGCTTCAGCACTCTGAGGAAGTATGGGAGTAGGCTTAAGTACACGACCCTAGGCCTTTCCTTTCCCACTAGGCCCTGAAACCCTGAGCCTGGACCCTTCATCCTGTTCTGTCAGCAATATCTGTGCCATCACTCAGTGGAAGGTCACCTCCCATCTACTTCTAGCAAGGAATGGGGCCCCTATTTGCTGAGCCTCAGCTCAGATACTAGGCTAGGCTTAATGTATCTCCCTAGCCGTATAACACTTTCTGAGATAGGTGTTCACCCCTGCTTTATACAGGTGGAAAAAAGTTGGGAAAGGCCATTATTAACTTGCTTAAGGCCACCTAGTGATTGGAGCTTGGAGGCTCCTTGATTGTCCAGCCGAGCCTTACTCACCTTGACTGCTTTCGTCAGGACTGGGAGGACACTGGCTCCTGGGCTCTTCCAGGCTTGGAGCTCCTGTCCTGCTGCCCACAGAGAATCCAGCTGAACAAGGTCAGAGAGAGGGGGATTGAGAAGAAGCCCTGCTGTAGGGCTTGTGGGCTCAAAAGGGGAAGGGGAGCTACACTCTGAGTACACACCATTGTCCTGTCTCCTGGTGCAGCCTTTCCATACCTGACAGAATGAGCAAGATGGTTACTTTAGCTGTGAGGACAGAGTCTGCCTGGGAGCAGGGAGAATCTATCAACCACCTCCCCAGCACACCCCTGGTGTTACAACACAGGGCCCTGGCTCACTTCTGCATGGCCTCCAGGCCGGCATCCATGGCAGCAGACCAGGCTGGGAGGTCAGTCTTGGCTTTAAGAGGCTGGGCAGCTGCAGTCAGGAACAGGCCATAGAGCTGAAGAAGACCAGAATGCTGAGTACATGGAGCTGGCCAGCACCCAGCCAAACCTGCATCCCTCCCCATCAGTCTGTCCTTCCAGGGCCTACTTCTACTTACCGCCCCAGATGAGCCTCCCATCTTCTCCAGCAGCAGGACAGACAGTTTGGAAAGTACCTGGGCAGGGCTGGCTAGGGCTGGGCCCTCCTTTAGCCAGCCCTGGATGGCTGCAAGTAGAGAGACAGGTGGCCCTTCAGAGGTATTATCCACTTCCTTTTCTCTCTCTGGTCTCTGCTAGTGTTGTCCTGATTGGTTTTATTTACTGAGGGATGTGCTTTCTGCCTGCTTTTTTTCTCTTCTCTTTCCCATTACCCTAAGTTGGCCTGGAAATCCTCATGAGCCACCATTGCCTGACCTTGTGCACTTTTGTAACCATAGATATGGGAGTGGTGCTTGGCTTGAGGTATGTCCTGCATGCATCTATCATCCATCCATCCATCTATCCCATCCATCCATCCATCCATCCATCCATCCATCCATCCATCCATCCATTTTTCAAGACAGGGTTTCTCAATATATCCCTGGTTGTCCTGGAACTCACTCTGTAGACCAGGCTGGCCTTGAATTTAAGAGATCTGATTGCCTCTGCCTCCCGAGTGCTGGGATTAAAGGAATGTGCCACCACTTTCTTAAATGGCTGGACAAGGGCTTTTTTTGTGTTGTGAGCATCTGAGAGCTCTAAGGGCAGCAGAATGGTCTCTTTCTGTGATTACTATTCCATTTGTAGTGTGGGAAACTCCTTTCTTTTGGGAAGATAGGCTGAGGGGTGTGCCAAATGGCCTCACTTGGTGAAGGAAGGCAGTAACTCCATGAAAGCCCCTAAATGTGCTGGAATTTGTTTCATGGAATGTCCAAATCTAAGAGCTAGTATGCCATATTAGCCCTTGAGCACCCCATAGAGGCCAACCTTTGGCAGCCCGGCTATGGGTATGGCCACAATCCCCGTCACCAGCAGCCCGATCCAAGGCATTCAGGTGCTCCTCCAGTCCGAGCAGGGTGGTGCACACTCGCTCCAGCACAAGCATTGTCTGCTTTGATGCTATACCTAGAAAGGGAGGTCAGGACACAGAAGCCTGGCTGGACCTTCTCATTGCCAAACTTGACCAGTGCGGGAAGTATGGGTATCAAGCAAGGTCCCTGTACACCCCAAAGACTCTTGCCCCTCTCCATCAGCAAGGCCTAGTACCTCCTGCTGCAGTGGCCTCAGTGACCTCTGGAGGCTCTGTGGGAGCTGCTCTGATCCGATTCCGCCCAGTCACAGAGACCTTGGCCATGTGAGGCCAGGCTGTTGCAGTAGTTTCAGCATCTAGAGGCAGCCACATAACTTTTTCAGACAAGATCAAGTGGGGCCTGGACTCCCCACCTGGCCCTGAAGACTGCTTCCCTAAGCTGTCTGCAAGAAGGCGGTCCAAATCAGGAAGAACATATGAGTGTCGACTGCATACTGAGTGGGGGCAGAGCACGTCCCTGGGGAGAGGGTAAGGCAGATGTGAGGATGTCACTAATACCAACTTTCCAAAGTTGAATGAGAGCTGAAGGCCAAAAAGCCAGAAAGAGCAGAGCTCTTCACAGGCCTAGAGTCCAGACTGTCACCATCAGCCCTATGTGGTCTCTA